TACCGTCACCAAACAGCAGGTTCTTGTGACGAAGGGGTTCACCTCGTCACCTCATCACACTGATGTGTGTAATAACAAAAGACGGCGAAAACGTAGGTGGTGATACAGTGTTTGTATTATAAATTAGTGATGTAGAGCGTTGCGCAAACCAATTAGGAAACTGGAAAAAGATGAGACAAAAAACTAAGGGAGACCCATAGACAAACAAACGCGGTAGTGCTTAAATCCAGGAGGACAGATTCCGCAGGTCAACAGCCACATTTCAAGCCGTCAATTGGAATAATCAGACCAATACTGTGAGAGGGAGGTGAAAAAGAACGAAGTTGGGGGCGGTCAGGAGATCACCAGAAACAGAGTCGGAGTGGCTACTTGAAACGTGGATCTGGCTTTTAGGGTGGTTGGTTGATTGGTTTGAAATGTACTCTGTGGGACTATCTTGATAGTCATCAAAGGACATGAAACAAACTAGAAATATGCCACTAGTTCTTTATAGTAATTAAGTGCATTGTAAACGAGCAAGGAGTGATACTTCAAATTACCTAATTGAGACAAGCTTTGAACTACTGCCGGAACCAAAAGCCAATGTTAGCAAAAGTCCCCTATACCAAACAAGCCACGCTCGTAAAAGTTTGATGAACATTTGTATTACGCACCAGTATTTGACGAACTCCACCGTGATGTGGAACACCTAGTCGCGGATGAAAGCTCGATGATCGGATGTTCGTGTGCTTCGCTAAAGCCCAGCTCAACGTCACGCGGTCTTGTATGAATGTTCCCCTAAGGCAAATATCCGGCCCCGGGATCTCGTACACTCAAGGAAACGGCAAGTCGTTATGAATACGAAGCTTGTTCTATGGGCTGTTCATCATACAATAGTGTATAGTAAAATGCCTGGGTCATGGGATTTGGAAAAATGAACCAAAAAAAGGATTCCCAATCGAACAGTGCAGTTGCCTACCACCAAAGTAGGGCGGCGACTGCAGAGGTCAAACCTCGAATATTGGATATCACAGCTTAAATGACTAGAACTCCTTTGACAACCAGCAATAAATTTGTGACAGAATAATATTCAACGGCGACAAAACTGCATTTAAATGGGTGAGCAATAAAAATGATGAAGATCATTCGGAAGGTACAAGCAAGAAATATGCTAATTGTCGATCTAAATAATCACACTGAAAAATCGGATACTTACTTGTCATTAGTGAGTTTTCCTGAAACAAAACGTAAATCATTAGTATCTGACGGAAAACGGATCGCAAACCAATTGTTGTAGACCAGATTTAAAAAAACTTATTCAACTCAAATGGTAGAAACAACTTGAACGATGGCAAGGTATAATAAGTTCAAATACGGTATAATAAGTCCTGAAAGAACCAGCTACATGGCTACAAATCGATGGGAGAGAAGTCACAAATACAGCTGATGTCGACGATATTCGATGTTTAAGGAACGTGACAACAGTGTCTCAAGTGCATCATACACATAAGTAGTGTTTTTATACAACAGCATTCTGAAAGAAGGACGCATTCATATGCATTCTACTGCGTTGTTGCAAAAATGTTTTCTTTTTTCTTTCAATCTTAACTGTCGGAAAACTGAAGAATGAAACTGTTGCGAAGGGGGAAAACAAACAAGCCCAGAGCTGAAGGAATTAAAAACTTGATTCGACGAAATCACATCTTAGGACAAGCTATAAAATTGAGACTATCCTTAGTTGTAGCCTTATATTTTAGACTGGGCTTCTGAATGGAAAGAAGCAGTGTGATTGCCGAGGTGTATCACAAAGTAGGATGGTCATGATGTCACCTGGTAGTTGAGACTCAAGATATCTGTGATGCTTCTGGCAGGTAGAGCAAATCTGCAAAAAACCGCTTCGTATGAAATTGAATTATAAGGATGTTTTTTAGCATGAAATGCATATACAGGCGGCAAAACAATAGTGACGAATAACAGTGAGGGATGAGTTTCGGCTACTCAAATAGCTTGAGTAGCATGACCGAATAATTCAAGCGATAAAGTTAAACTAATCCTAATGACTAGCCGAGGTTCAGTTTCACGCAGGCAGATTAGACGCATATTAGAAAAAGTTGATATGAAATACTTTTCCGGCGATATTCTGAATAGTCTTATGACAATGTTCGACACTCAATCCTTCAAGCGAAGATTGTGCTCGTCACAGTTTCAGGGGATCTACAATGTTGTTTCCACCAGACGACGAGCTTAAGCGGAAAGTTTAACGAGAATAATATGACAGAGTCCGCTGGCCAGGGGTTTCATATCCTAACGACAAGTCTAGGTTTGATCATCTCTTTAACCTTCTCCCACCTGTTAGCTACATTGGCAAACAGTTCACGCTAAGGAAAGCGAAAAGGGGCCATGTGTAAAACATGTAACAGTGGGGGTCAAGTTATTCGTCCGAGTGTTTTAATTTAGGCTGCTAGGTATACCATAGTTTAAATATTCGAAAATATGAATGATAAATACAAATATATATATGAAAGTATTCATATTGAACTACAGTAAAACTATCCATGTGAAAGTTAGAGAAAAATGAAAGCCATTTCTGACAGCCGTATTTAATGTGGCAGTAGTCGTTAAACAAAATCTACCACTGTAGATATATGGCACTATTTCTCACCTCTGTGCACACATCTTGCCAGTGGAAGTTAAAATAATAGATTACAGGCAAGATCGTCGACAGACACATCCAAATGCACCTGATTTTTCAGATTTATAAAAAGAGGTCATTTAAGTTAACACTAGAACAACCGCAATGCCCAAACAATCATCTTCACCGTTTCGGATAGATTACTTGCATTGGAAATAATGTGGACGGGATGTGGGTGGTGTGTTCTCCGAGCTGGAAGTGTTGTTCGCAGACGTTTCGTAGCCAGGCTAGGTAACATCATCAGTGCAGACTGCACTGATTTTCATGTCGATGTGCTTTTCCAAATTTCACTTTCACAATCAGAAAAAAAACTTATCGAAAGGATTTTCGACGTATACCGTCTGTAATGAAGTGAACTGACTATTGCTCCTTGATCCTTGTAGTAAGTCAGTCTTTCAGCTGGCAAATCCCCAGGGCCAAGAAGAACGTTTAAATACAGAAGTTAATGTTAGTGCACATAAGCGTTTAAAAAGGACGGTTATTTGGAAGTGAAACTGTAAGAAGCTTTATGGTAAGATTGAAATTGCGTACACCGGACCTACCTGTACTCTGTTAAAAACCCAACAATTCATGTGCGTCCTAACCAACTCCCAGTTTGATGACCCTTGTTCACCGGATCGGAACTCGTTACCTTCTACCTCCATGGCCATTCAGTTGCACTTTTATGTATTCCCCCTATGATTACCTAACCGCTCCACATAGCAACTTTCGTGTTAATTATCGTGATCCGTTCTTCGTTCAACCTGTTACAGTAATCTATTATCTTCACTCCATACGGAAACTGTTTCGTGTTGATTGTCAGAACTGTTGTCCTATTATCGTGATACATTATCGATATCAATTACCTCGACCCGACATAGAAACTGCCTCGAGTTATTGTGGTCACCCGTTCATCACCCACCCACTATGATTATCCTATCGTCTTCACTGTTGTCACTGTTCATTCTTTCTCGCAATTTAGTTATTTCCTGGTACATGCTTCCACCCGCCTTGTGTGTTTAACCTTTCCAGACACCCTCCTCGTATTCGTTGTCTATTCTCTCAATTACACCGTCATTACGGTTGCCGTCTGTCGTCCCCCGTCCCCCCCGCCCGACTTTGGTATCACTTCGCTATCCCATCCCTGTGATTGGTCTTCACCGCCCTCTAAATAGCACTGTCTCTATATCCACACTACATTCCTCCTCCGATCTCCAAGAGAGGGTTTTCCTGGCACGTTTGCCCTTGTCGTGTCGAACCGATTGTTGTCCAGACCGGGTTGCCCCTAACTTGAGGTAACCGTTGAATTTCCATTAATTCATGATCCATTACGTAGTACACGTAGATTACCCAGCCTTGTGTTCTGACGCAAAATTCGGAGGTTCGGTATCTGCGAGTAACTCTATCATCAGACGTCAATCCGGTACAGAAACTGGGACGGAGAAACAGGTAAAGCATTGTGCCTTGCATAGTCTACGCACTATCGCCGGTTGCATAATTTGACCAAAAGCAGACCACGGTTGACCAGTTATTGCGGTCCGAGGATTTACATCTTTTTATTAGGTAAACACCGGACTCTGCTGCTAACCACTGAAATGGTCAATTGATAAACACAGTTCTCAGAATTCTTTCCCATTTTTTCTCCCTTTCAGTACTGGACCAGTTCACCTTTATCTGGAATAATACGATTGTATTCTACCCCGAAGAACTGCTCTTGAAAATGCTGTGCTAGATGAGTAAAATATTCCTTACTGATTTAGCCACTTTACCACTTTGTCCCCGACGGGGTCTACTTGGTGGTGGAGATAAGTAAGAAAAGTTGAGTTCGGGGAAAAGCATCATGTAAAAAGTGATGATCAGCATACTAAGCAGTATTGAACATCACTTACTTTATTGAATACCGCAACCGCAGGTTTCGTGTGATGCGATTCAACGGGTTCATTAGTATTGAATTCACAATCCTCGTTATCTGTGGAACCTAGTTCACCATCTAAGCGGCGCTTCTTCATGCTCGGTTTCCCATCCAAGCTATCCAGCGGATCCGCGGTCTCGGGTATCGAATCTAAACGTTCCGTCAAACTGTTCGCGGTGTTCGATCCACGAACACCAAGTCCAGACAAATTCTCCACTGAATCACCTTGATCTACAACATCCGTGGGTCTTGAACGTTTACCGCTCACCGCACGTCCAGTTGTATCAGTGTCCAAATACTCGATCGCTAAAGGGAGTTTTGTCGATTTGACTTTAGAATCCGGTGTGGGATCCTTGTCGCCAGGACGGGTTGTTTTGTTCAAGCATAAGTGTAGATCTTGAGGGAGTAAAAGACCCATCGATTCACGAAATGGTTTTGTTTCTTGTGAGATCTGAATGATCAACAGGATGAGAAACAGAGGTGTAAGGGGTCCCATGCAATTGATTCTATGAAGGACGCAGAATTAAAGTAATCGGTCACTGTAAAAATGAATGGGTGTTTAATAGACTGCACTGTTTTGTTGCATGCATACAGAGAACTACTCAGAATTCCTGAATAACGTTCGTGATCGTACCGACCAACGGTAGAAAATCCTGATCGATTGAGTACTTTTGTAAACAAAAGGTATCACTTTACATACCTCACTGATAGCGCGACAAACACGCCGAGCGAAACTCGGGTCATGCAGTGCACGTTCGACCATCTTTTGCAAATCTGAAATCAGTGGCTGTATGTACGCAGCAAATCCGGTGGCAATGGATGTACGCATTGAACCTGGACCGCCAGGGAAACTTAGTGAGAAGCCGGTAGTGGTGGTTTGAGGAGTCAGACGATTATCCGAACCAGAATGCCGTAGCAAACTGGGTAGACTGGCATTCATACCACCGGGGCCGGAGCCGGACAATTCCACGGTGGACACACCAAGTGGCTGATTCAAAGCACTACCCGAAGAACTTTCCGATACAGTGCCGTAAACAGCATTCCTCACGGAACCCACAATGCGAACTGAGCCATGGATCTGACCGGATACAACTGTGTTATGCGTTTCCGAAAGAGCACCAGTTGAGCCCACAGTTCCCGCACTGACAGCAGGACTCCCTGAAAAAAATGATATAGTAATAATGAATGGAGTGAAAGTGGCAGAAATGTTACGCGCATCTCGTCACAGGTTTGTAGTAAACAGATCACTAGTTCTCTACAATCAACAAAGAGTATGCACGTTCGCTATATGCATTCACGCCGATGAGCGTGCATGCAGAAGCCGGCACCCAAAATGATTTTTTTGTATTGGTCACTGTACAGGATTTCACTCGCTGAGGTTTCTTGGTACTGAGTTGGTCATGGTGTTATACGATCTCACAGACATCGAGAATAGTTCTGTTTCACATTTTTACAATCATTAAGCATGCACTTTCGTGCGCCAATTTTAGTTGCTGTCCTTTGGTGCCCCATTTGATAAAAGAGCAGGATGATGATTGGAATGAAAGCAAATTCAAACAGAAGATGGCGAACTCATATAGAATAGTTTTAGGGGAATAGTGAGTGGATGCACGAGCGCCACCGTTTGCGACTCCCAGCTATATCACTCAGTGTCTCGAACCATCAGTGACCATCATCTCGAGACTCCCCAGCCAGGGAGTCTAACGGGGCCCATGTGACCTAGTCTCCTGGTTAGAGTTTTCATACCCTCATGCCAGGTCTTCGTTTGACCACCCTTGACCTTTTTCCAACCGCTACCTGCCTCGGCAAACCGCTCGCCGTGGCAATCTATTTGATGACATGCATAACACATGTCCCAACCAACGTAATCTAAAGAGGTCGATCACTTGCTCCAATGGACGACCGATCGAGAATGGCAAACATCAACAGATTGTGCAACATTTAGACCAGGACACTAGGACGGGGCAACCCGAGCTGAAGAGGAGCCAGGGCAGAACAGAAGAGTATATGGTTTTGATAAAAAATAAGGCAGCCGATTATTCTTGCTGGACATACGGTATCAATATCCACGAGAACCCAAAAGGGAAGTCACTCTAAGAGGCCAAGTCAAAATGTCAGCTGCATTACTCATGATTTCAAGCTACAAATCGATCAATTATTATCATCGTACAGCATAATACAGTGAAGTGAACATCACTGATCGGTGCCAAACTCATAATGCACAGATGGTAAGTGAGAATATGGAAGATAAACATTGGGCATATATTCAAAGAGAGAAAAGTGAACCTGTATGCTCAACACAGTCTAAATGAACATATACACCATTTCCGTCACTACGAGACTACACCTCGACGCGGTGATGGCCTGTGCACCTCTGTGACCCAACGAGCTACATAGGATGGCTTTATAAAGCCAAATCTTATCATGCCTGGAAGGTCAATGGGTAGAGGTCAGTCTCCTGGTCCTCAAGGTTGGAAGTTCGCCTGGAATTTGGTGTTTCAGTCAATAAAAAGCGGTGGAGGAGTAATTGATCCAAGTATATGAGCCTCCACTTCGCCTCACCCGCTGCCTTGCGGTTAAGTTCTTGTTAGAACTAAAGGCTTTGAACGAAAACCCTAATCGTTCTCCTGCTTAGTGGCTGGACACCCTAGCAGTACCCATCCACCAAACCCCAATGCATACACAAAATAAAAATAATTTTATA